GTGACCTTGGGTAGGTCGGCTTCCCTGTCTGAGCCTCAGTTTCCCCATCTGTACCAGCTGGACCCCCAGTTCTACAGGCAGGGGTGGGACGATCCCAACATCTCTGCCTCCTGCATCTATCTCTTCAGCCGAGGGGAGGCAGGAGATAAGTCCTCCAGAGCATCGAGACCTCAGGGCAGAGCGGCTCGCGCGTGCGCGCTGCGCGGTGGGCGGAGTCCCGCGGAGGGAGCCGGAAGTCGGGAGCCGGAAGTCGGGAGCCGGAAGTCGGGAGCCGGCGCACGCGGGGGAGAAAAGCCGGAAGCCTGGGGGGCGTGGCCGGGGAAGGGCTCGGGCGCCGGGAGCGCGTCATCCTAGGAGCGACGCCGCCTGTGGGATCCTGGGCTCGGCGGCCGGCAGCGAGCTCCGGGCCCGGCCTGAGGCGGCGGCGGCGGCGGCAGAGGAGGAGGAGGAGGCCCAGGCCCAGCGCAGGCGGGGAAGATGCCCGTGGCGGTGATGGCGGACAACGCCTCCTTCAGCTTCAAGAAGCTGCTGGATCAGTGCGAGAACCAGGAGCTCGAGGTACCGGCGGGGCCCGGCCGCGGGAGCGCGCTGCTCGGTCCGCGCGTGGGGGCGCGCTCACCGGGGCAACGGAACGCGCGGGCGGGAGGGAGGCCGGTTACCGAGGCAACGGAGCCGGTGCAGGGGGGAGGGGCGCGATTACCGGGGCTACGGAGCCGACGCCGGGGGGGGGCGGTTACCCCTGCGGGACCGAGGAATCCACCCCCCCTCGTTTTACAGATGGGGAAACTGAGGCCCTGGGAGGGAAAGTGAGTTGCGTGGCCCAAGCGGGATCCCTCCATTCTAGCAGAGGAGGGGCAGAAGTGACCCCTGCTGCCGCGCCCCCTCCCCCCCCACACCCCCGTGTTCGTTGGTTCAGATTCCTTTAATCAGCACGCATTTATTAGTTTCCTACTATGAGGATACGAATGCAAAAGTGAGCCAGCCCCACCCCCCAAAAAGCCTGTTTCGGGGAACGGGACAGCCCTGGGGTGGAGCCTCTGAGGCACCCAGCACTTCTTAAGCACCTACTGTGTGCCGGGTGCTGGCGATGGGGAGACAGAAGTGAGGCAGCCCCTGCTTCCGGGGAGCATCATACACGTGGTGTGCATTTATTAAGCTCCTGTGGTGGCGTGGGCATCCTGCTAGGCACAGTGACCAGGGGGCCGTCCCCCTTCTCGGGGGTTTTTATCCCATCAGAGCCAGTACAGGCTGTGCACAGTGCCCGTGGCCGGGTCAGGGGAGCCACGCTGTCAGAGATGGGGCTGGGGAGCTCAGTTTGCCCAAAAAGCAGAAAACCTGAACGTAGGCCTTGCCCGGAGCTTGGAGGGGGAGGCCGGGGCTCCTGTGAGGAGAGAGGTAACGAACCTCCATCCCCTCCCTTCTCCGCATAGACCCACCATCTCCTCGCCTGGCCTCTCCCGCATGTCCCGTCGCCCCGGTGGGCCTCCCTTCCGACGTCCTTGTCGGTTCCCTCTGGGCCGGGGACCGAGGCACTGTCCTGACGTCTCTGGGGCAGGAGCCCCTGGAGAAGAGCAGCCGGTCTGGGTCTGGGCAGAGACCGTGAAGGGGGAGGGGCTGCTGAGGTGGTGACTCGAGGCTGTCAGTGTTTACTAAATGTTGCTGGGTCGGGCGGTGGGACAGCCCTTCACTGAAGGCCTGCAGTCAGAGGCCAGCCTCTTGTTGGGTACATTTTAGGGGCATTGAGGCGAGTGCGAGAGGGGACCCGATGCTGCACGGTCCCTGCCAAATCTCAGATTCTGTGGTCCTGTGATCAAAAGAGCTAATGGGTCATTGGCTGAGCGTACGGGCACAGATCTCTAGAGCTCAGGAGTTCTGTGCTGCAGCGGGCGCGGGTGGCGGGTCACCAGGTGCCTAAGGAGGGCCGACGTGCAGAAGTTCATGCCAAGATTTTATTTTAAAAACTGTCTAAAGAGGCATCCGGCTGGTTCTGCTTGGGCCCAGTGAGTGGACATTGCAGACAGGCAGGTGGGGACTTGATGTTAACTCTCCCCAAACTGTAACTCAAGCATCTCCACAGAACTGGAAGGAGACCCCTTGGGAGGACCGAGGATTCTCGTTCAGGCGGGGTTGGGTGAGATGGCCTCTAGTCTTTGCTGACTCTGATTCTGTGTTTCCATAGTAACATTATAAATATGGTCATTCAGGTTTCAATGGTGTCCTTAGAGGAAGGGAATAAGCATTTATAGAGTGCTTACCATGTGCCAAGCACTGTACTGAGCTTTTTATAGTGATCTCATTTGGTCCTCATAACAACCCTGGCAGGTGGGTGCTATTATTATCCCCATTTTTACAGATGAGGAAGCTGAGACAAAGGGGGTTAAGTGACTTGCCCAGGGTCACACACAGCTGGTAAGTGTCTGAGGCCTCATTGGAACAGAGGTCTTCCTGGCTTCAGGCCTAGAGCTCTATCTACTGCACCACCCAGCTGCCTTAGGATGGGAATGGGGATGGGCACTGGTCCTGTGATTTCACTGGTATAGGGAACTCCCACGTGAGGAAATTCCTTCCACTAATGCAGGTCAGCTCCTTAGAGTCTTCTAGAGTTGCCTGGACTAGTGGCCCATAAGACCGGCCTTTCTCAGAGGCGGACCCCAGTCTAGGGCTTCCTGCCTCTGAGGCCACCTCTCATCTGGAAGACAGGCCATTAAAAGTTCATTCAGGGGCAGGTGGGGTGGTAGAATGGATTACAGCACCTGCCCTGGATTCAGGAGGACCTGAGTTCAAATGTGGCCTCAGACACATAACATTTACTAGCTGTGTGACCCTGAGTAAATCACTTAACCCCATTGCCTAGCCAAAAAAAAAAAAAGTTCATTCATCAAGTGTAAAAGCCACCCCAGAGAAGTGCACTCTAAGAGAGTGGAGGGAAAGGCTTCAAGAAACAGCTTTGTTTTATTCTTAGGCATTCACCTGTGTATTGTTGCTATATTTGAAAAAAATTAGAATCCTTTTGCTTCACAAATCCTGTTGAAAATACTCTATTGTTTTTCAGAACATTGGAATTAGGTAAAGTTTTGGTTAAAACACAGTCGATTTTCCAGTAATGCCTATTTAATAGTTTTGATAAAAGTATAAGAAATAGGGGCTGAACCTGGGATTTCATGGGTGGAGGGAACTCCCAGAGGAGGAGGTTCTTTCTACCAGGCAGGTAGAAATCTTTTCCTTCGATGAGCGGGTTCCTGAGAGGCTCAGGCCCCTGGAAGCCAGCAGGTGTCCATTATGGGACTCAATCCCAGGCCTTTCTGGCTTCCACTACCTGGGAAATGATGAAAAGAACCCATTGATGGATGCTCTCGGTGCCTTACTTATGTGTTGTTATCTAGGCTCCCGGAGGAATCGCTACACCCCCCGTTTATGGGCAGCTCCTCGCCCTCTACCTTCTACACAATGACATGTAAGTATCTGCTTCTGTGTGTCGCTGTTGCTAAGATCTGACTGATCTTTCTGGAAAGTCTCGCTACTGTTCTAGAAAAATTTTTGGGGTTTAGAAGAGGGTATTTTTAGGGGGAGTGGTCCCTGCCACTTTGCTTTTTAGGTTCTAAAATCTACAAAAGCAGGGGAATGGCAAAAATGATCTTGTTCAGTGCCAGCCCGTTTTATGTTCACATAAAACATTTTCATAATCCTCTGAAGTGCTCTGATAATTGACAGATTGAGACAAACAAAAGCACAGCCCACGTGGGCCCTCTCTGTTCACTTGTTCTGCCTTCCAGGCTCTCTCCAGCCTCCCTCAGAGTCCGGCCCCCCCGGGGTGGGGGGAGAAGAGAGGAACACTCCTGGCCTGTTGGCCCTGCTTGTCAGCTCTGTCCTTCCTCAGATTATCTTGTATTTGCTTACCTGTTTGCTGGCTTGTGTCTCTTTTCTTTCTCACCTCCCCACCCCCAAAACATTCACTCCACAAGGACGGGGTCAGTTGCCCTTTTTGTCTTGGAGCCCCCACCGCCATATGCAGGGCAGGTGTTTGATAGTAAACACTTGTTGGATTGAAGTGAATTGATGGAACTGCAGAGACCTTTAAGGGAAATGATGACTGGGCCTTTGTAGCATGAAACTGGAAAATCCTCTTTAAATTAGTAGAAAAATAAAATCAACACCACCAAAGGAAGCCTTGCCTCTCAGATGAGTGCAAAAGGTAATCCTGGAGTTACAGCTCCCACTGGACAAGAGAGGGCCTCCCATGGCAGACCCATGCTGGTGATTCTGCTTTTGGACCTCGGGTTGTGGGAGCCTTCCCTGAGCCTGACAGGTGACCCGGGGTCAGACGGGCCTTAGAGGATCTAGTCTGGAGTGTCTGGCTTGTGGTCCGGCTGAACCAGGCTCAGATGTAATTGGGAAGTGTTTAACCAATGAAATGAAAAGACAGTACAAGGTAGATCATGTTAATTAGTAGTTTTCTAAGTCAATTTGTGGCCTACGGGGGCTTGCTTTCTGTTTGAGTGCCAGCCTAATCCACCCCCTTCCTTTGGCCCCAGAGAAAAGTAAAGCCTAGGATGCTGAATGGCCTTAGGCCAAGTCACACAGTGCAGAGGTCGCCTTCTGGTTACAAACTCCACCCTCTTCCAGCTCCCCCATTGCTGCCTCTGACCTCCCAGATCAGCGATCCATGCGTACACAGCCCCATGGAAGCCTCAGCCATCCTCTGAGCTGCCCACACATTCATTGCCTGGCTGTGTCAGCACCCAGACATATGTTGTCTTGTACCGCTAACTGCCTTCTAACCTGGTGCGTCTCTTTCTCTCTAATTGGTGTTTTAAGCCTCTTCAGTATAGGCACACTTTGTACTTCTTGCTGGGCAGACAGCACATGTGGCTCACGTAGTCATTAAATTGGATAAAACGAAACTGATATTGTTCCCAGAGTGTATTTAAGTTATGATTCTAGTTCTAAAGCTGACTTATGTCTTGCTTTTTAAAGAACATGTCTTTTTCTTGAGAGAGACAGTTGTCTTTAAGTTAAATTAAATCCACCTTGTGGGTATAGTTAGGTTCTAATACTGGTAAGAAAGGTTACTTACATGTTCAGAAACTATGATATAGAAGTTCCATTTTTAGACTTAGCCTGCCGCTGAGCCTCTTGAGAAGTCCTGAGATTTCCTTGAAATTATTCTCTGAAAAACTTTGGCAGTGCCTTTTCCCAAGTATTGCTTAGTTCCAAAGGGAAAGGACATCTTGGTATAAGACCTGCCTTAGATTAGGTAAAATATGATTGCCACATGGTTCTGAAGAAATTGAGGAGCATTGGGTATGCCACGTACCAGGCGGTCTGTGCCAGGCGGGGCCCTGGCTGAGCAAGCTCAAGGCAGGCGGGATATGAGGGCCACTCTTCTCCAGGCGCTCAGGTTCAAAGGAAGCACCAGTGTAAAGTCATTTACATTGATGAGATATTTTCTCCAGATAAAAAGGCGCTGAAGACCTTTCCAGCCAGGATGCTGCGTCCTATACCCCCACCTCATCCATGCATGTGCACACACACGTGCCCAAGTAATTATAGAGCAGGATGATACAGAACTTGCAGAAGGGAATTCAGATGTTTTGTTTTTTAGTCATTCTGTAGCATTAGGATATTGTGCCTAATGAAGCAAATTTTAATTGATTTTTGTTTTCTTTTGGGGATACAAATTAGGAATAATGCCCGGTATCTTTGGAAAAGAATTCCTCCTGCTATAAAATCTGTAAGTAATCTCCATGTATATCTTACTCCTTTGTAAGGTTATTATGCTTTAAATACATTTTTTATTAAGGTAACAGTAACAGTAGTAATTGCTTAGATTACCCCAATCACACTTAACTTCCCAAAATCTATTTTCCCTGTCTTGTCGCATGTGTTCCTTCTAAGTGGTTTACAGACGCAGAAGTTTGTTGAACCTTTGGGGTTTGAATCAGACTTCGAGATACCGCAAATGAAAAATCGTGACCGTAAGAAGCATTTGAAGGGTGCTTGGTTCCGTGGGGGCAGCAGAGGGTACAGTGGATAGAGTGCTGGGCTCAGATCCAACGTCAGGCACTTATTAGCGGTTTGACCCTGGGCAACTCATTTACTCTCTCTGCCTCAGTTACCTCAGCTATCAAATGGGGATAATAAGAGAACAGCATCTGCCTGTCAGGGTTGCTGTGAGGATCAAGTGAGATAATATTTGTAAAGCGCTCTGTACGGTGCCTGGCACGTAGTGGGCGCTGTGTAAATGCTCAGACCTTCTTTTCTTCCCTCCCATGTGAAAGTTTTATTTGCCCTGCGTGCTTGAAAAGAAACAAACAGTTGTTCACTGACAGGGATCACATGTCCCGACATGTTTGAGACAGGTTTGTGAAATGGCAGCTCCCTGATAGTCAGGCTTGCCACAGCTTTTCTTAACCCCTTACTGCGTCACCTGCCGAAGCCTTCCTCGGCTGCCACGAGGACGTGGTCGCTTCTCCTAGGTCAGCTCAGGCAGGTCCGGCCCGACACTCCCGGACTGAGAAGGAGCCTCCCAGGCCATGTTCTCCAGCTCACGCACGAGGACCACTTGTACCTGCTGCTCAGATACTCTGCCCGGTGGATTTCTCCCCAGAAACCGGAAAGGCTTTGTTCTTGGGCCATCTGTCATTGACTTACAGGCCCGGCAACATTCTGGCAAGCTCATCGGCCAAGGATCTGTATGGGAGGGGGAAGGGACAGGCCCTGGTCACTGTCTGGCCTCACTGATGGCATCGTGAAGCCTTTGAAGTTTTACAAAGGGCTTTCTGGAGTGACTTTGAAGCAGTCAGCACGTTCTGCTCAGTAATTCTTACTACCACAGAGTCTGAGTTTGGGATGTTACACAGCTCCCAGCTCTAAGAGTCTTGGTTCTGTAGTGACAAAATAAATTTTTACATCAGAAAATTCTTTCCTTTTTTTTTTTTTTGAATGATATCAATGCAGTAAATGCTCAGTGTTTCTGATGTTGGTTTTCTTCCCAAGGCTCGATCTTGAAATGTGACTTTCTTGGTGTTTTAGGAGGCTGCTTTGTGCTTACACGTTAATCTGTAGTTTTGAAAGACTTTAACTAGAGCAAGAGTTAAATACATTTGAGGGCGGATTGTTTTGGATTTCATTGTTTTTGAACTAAAAAATGTTCCAGCACAAACAAGGGGTCAAATAGGAGACCCTCGGGCCCCACAAAGCCACAGCCCTCCCGAGTGTGGCCCAAACCAGATGAAAATGTCATTGGAAGATATTTAACCAAATAGATAAAAATACAGTTTAACAGGGATGATATTTTAAAACTGAGTCACCATGGGGCCTGCAGGGATCCTTGCAGACGGTGTGGTGGCCCCGGTTTCTTGGATGCCACTGAGCGCGGAGTGATCCTGCGGCGCCCTCCACACACTTCTCTTTATAGTGATTCATTGTCCTTCATTTTTCATGTTTTCCCTGAAGCCGGGGACACTGTGAGAGGTGGGTGAGGTGGCGATGTTCAGCTGTAGTGAAGGTTTCTCTGTTTATTGCAGGCAAATTCTGAGCTTGGGGGCATCTGGTCAGTAGGACAAAGAATCTGGCAGAGAGATTTCCCAGGAATCTACACCAGCATCAGTTCACATCAGTGGTCTGAGACCATCCAGCCCATCATGGAAGCGCTCAGAGGTATGGCCTGATTATTGCTGAAGAATCAAATTTCTAGTCACTTTCTCCTTAGATTTTTTTAAACTTAGGTATGTCAGTGGTATGAATGGAAAGTTGATCTGTTCTTAAGTGAAGAAGACAGTTTTCAAAATTAGATAACTTTGAATCATGCTGCCATATTAATCTGAGATCATATGTGGTGTAGGCAGCAGGCTGGAGGTTTGACCCCAAGGCTCCATTTGCCCTCTAGCAGCACTTGGATTGAAACCTTCTTGAAGTCTCTCTGTTCCTGGTTTTTACTATAAGAGAATCGGTTTTTAGAAATGTGACACTGAGCAGACTTTGAGGACCAAGGAATTGTCAAACAAATTCAGACTTGTTGATCTCTTTTAGAACATGGGCCATTTTGTCCGAGAAGTGAGCCTTGTAAATGCTTGTAAGATCACAGGCTGAAGGAATTTGCCCGAGGTCAGACAGCTGGCAAAGGTCAGCGCATTATATGGACTTGGTTAGAAAGCAGCGGTGGAGTGCTGATATTCACATTATCTCTCTGGCTAGAGCTGCCCACGTGGCCCTGTGGCTCTCGCCGTCCAGTATCTTGCAGTGAGTCTGAGACATGGTCCGCTGTGGCTAGACTCCTCCCATGTCTTACCTGGTTTCCTGTCACGTGGGTGCCGGCCCTCATTTGCAGCTTGGATCTTCAGCTCCCTGCCCTCTGAGGGTGGGCTCCCCTGGCCCTGTCCCAGGCACTCTGCCCTCTCTTCCCTTCCTTTGACATCCTCTCTCTTCCCCTCTCCCCCTACTGTGGCTCATTCATTTTCTCTGAAAAGATAATTCCTGCATCCGTCCCCTGCCATGACCTCTCCCCTGAGCACCAGTCATGGGCTTCCAGCTGCCCCGGGAGTGTCTCGCCCGGGGGTCCTGCTTGACCCCTCAGGTGCCAAGGGTCTCAAACTAAGCTCTAGCCATCTTTCTTCCCCAAATTGCTCTTTTTCTGTTGTTGTTGGTCTCTATGACTCTCTGACCTTTCCAGGTCACTTGACCCTCTCTGTGCTTCCAAGAAACTAGGAGACACTGAAGGGCAGAGCAGGGTCTGACCTGCGTTGGCAGAGGCAGTTCCCCGTACACCCATGACGTCATGGGCCTGGACCCCAAAATGGATTACACACTGGATCCTCCGATGCGTCTGGGCCGTTACTGTAAACGCTGATTCCCTCTCGTTCTTGGAGTCTTGTCCCTGTTACCCATAGACCTGGCCCAGAAGATCCAGCAGGGCCCAGGAGACCTCCCTCTGTGTTTTCAGGCAGCCCGTCTGTTGGCTCTCATTTCCACGTCCTCCATGATGTTTCATGTCCCCCTCATGCCTCCCTCGGGTGCTAACTGCTGCCTGATTGGGGGAGGGGAGGACCTGAGGCACACGGGGTTGGGGGCGTGATGGTTCAGAGGACAAGAGTGGTCAGAAGAGGGTAGCCGGGCAAGGCCGAGCCTTCCTTTTTAAAATCAGAGAGAACCGAACACGTTGGAAGATGTACAGAAAGGCAGGACAGTTGGGGAGGGAGACCTGGGAGCCTGGGCAAGGTTGGTGCCAACACCACAAATGGAGGGGAGCTCTTGAGTGAGGAAGGATGAGAAGACACCTGTTGGCAGCGACATGTTCATTCCAGCATTTGTGAAGCCAGCTGTGAGGGTACAGAGACAAGACTGAACCAGGCCTCGCCCTCAGGAAGCTCACGTCGTATCAGAAGAGACAACATGCACACACGTACAGTTGTACAGAGTAGATACAGGAAGGGAGAGGAGGAAAGGCCTCCAGCGTGTGGAGGGAAGTTCCAGGTGTGGGAACACCTCATGCCAACGCCCAGAGCTGCCACGTCGTGTGTGAGGAAGAGCAGGAGGGCCTGGCAGAGCCTGGGGTAAAGACACCGGACAGTCGGTCATCCCTTTGGTGGGGAAAGGGAGGTAGAGGCCCCAGCCTGGCCCTGTGCCTCAGGGAATGTCAGCTGGACAGGGGCAGGAGCAAGGGAAGGACATGGGAGTTGTGTCTTTGTTTGGCTTGGGAAGGGAGGCGGCCCTTTCCTCTGTGTCCGACGTGCATAGCTTTTGTCACTAAGAAGAGTCTTCCACCAATGGAGGTTGGGAAGGACATGACAACCAGGCGGACGGCTCAACCCCGGGGTCTCCCCCGGAGATAGGCGCCCTCCTCCTCCTACGCTCTTTGGAACATGCTTTCACAGGTCACTGTCTAGGGAGGTGATGCCTTCCTGATCCCTGCTCCTGGTCATTCAGAAGGCGGGGGGTGTTTGGGGCTCACACGGCCACCCCTGCTAACTGTCCTCCACCTTATAGGGCCCTTCTCAGTGCGGCCCCATTTCTCTCAAAGGTGAGGCCATGTTGCTCCCCTTTGGTCACCCCACTTCCCAGCCCACTTGATCCGCCCGCTGGGCCCCTGCCTAGAGGGCTCCCCTTCCTCCCCTTGGCCTTCAGAATACCGAGCTCCCTCCAGACGTACCTCAACTGCCCCCTCCCACAGGAACCTGTTCTTGCTACTGCCAGTGGAGTGGAAGCTCCCAGAGGGCCACGGCTGCCGGTCTTTGTCTTTGCGTTGCTGGTGCTTAGCTCCGGGCCTGGCCTGGGAGGCCTTTGGGGAATGCTGGTTGGTGATGTTGAGCCCTCCTTTGCAGGGATGCAGATCACAGCCCGGGCTGCACGCCTCTTCTCTGAGCCCTCCCCTAATACATGCGCTCAGGGCCTTCCTCCCCTTGTCTTGGCATTGTGCGGTGCCCACCACTCGTCCCTCCCTTCCCGCCTCTCCAGCCCATCGTCTCTGGGATCCTGCACTTCTGGGATGTATTTATGACATCCTTCTCTTCGCTTCTGCCCGATCCCTTATTTGTCCCTCTAACTCTGGGGGCCTCAGCCATGGCACAGCACTGAAAGAAATTGGTATTAAAAACGGGTCCTCTGTTTCAAGGTGGAGGTCACAGCCCCTAAAGGAACTTGGCAGGTGTCCAGAGGTGATACAACCCCTCCTCTTCAGTTAATTCTGGTCTCTGGTCATTGTTCATTTATGATGGTGGGGTCTCTCATTGCTTCAGTCATTATAAAATCAACACAGCTGCTTCTTGGCCTTTCTCAGGAAGCTTCTGCTCATCGTCCTCCCTTTGAGTGATGCCCTTTATGCAGCACTCTGCCCACTCATTGATCACTGGGCAAAGCTGTCCTCACCTCTCGAGTACCAACAGCTGAGTTAATGTTCCAGGATTATCTAAAATTGGATTTAGATGATGGTTTGATTCTTTTCTCCCTCTCTCCACCCTGCACTGTCTCTGCAGCAGGGGGCCAGGCAGGACTAAAGACCCTTGTCACCAAATGTCCAGCCTGGCACAGATGTCCCAGTGAAGCCTCTCTCTGTCCTCACCCGGGCTGCCTCTCAGCAGCTTGTCCTTAGCGGGCGTAGCCAAGGCTTACCCCTACACCGTGAAGTAGCGTCAGAGTGAGCTGACTCCCTCTGACCAGGGTACTACCTGGGCCACAGATGCTGTCCCTGCCCATCTCCCTCCTTTGTGCCGCCTTGTACCAGGGCTGAGCCCTGGAGCTGGAGCAGGTGAGGGGGCAGCTGAGAAACCCACCCTCCAGTCCTCTCTGTTGCCGAGGGGCCAGGGTGACTCGGTGCCTGCGTGGTGCTGTGGGGAGGGGGCTGCCTTCTGAATGAATGGACTATAGAGTAGTTTACCTTCAATTATCCAGATGGGTCTTTGTGTGAAATACTTTATTCTTTCTATATCTAACTTCTTTATCATCTTCTGCAGTAAATCTTCAGGAGAGATGTGATGTTTGAAACTAGCGCGCGCGCACACACACACACACACACACACACACACACACACACAGCCCATTGGACCCAGAAGAACAAACATGCTTTTTTCTGGTGGGGCGGGGGCTTTGAGATCTCCGCGGCTTGCTTCTGTGTCTTGCCAGGGCCTGTGCCTTACGCGATAACGGATCCTCCTTCTCCCCCTTCACTAGATGCCACAAGAAGAAGAGCGTTCACACTGGTTTCTCAGGCATACACCTCGATCATCGCTGATGACTTCGCAGCATTTGTTGGACTTCCCGTAGAAGAAGCAGTGAAAGGTAGCTTGTCTCGCTGTCCTCGGGTTATCGGGGCCTTGATCAGGAAAGCCAAAGGGGCGCTGGGCATCATGGAGCCAGACTTTGGAAAACCAGGCCCTTTCTGCCACTCATGGGTGCAGCTCGAACAGTCTCAAAGGCCGCCCTGTGGGGTCTTCCCTTCCCGGTGACAGAAGATTGTCCTCTCCCCTGTCAGCTCCCACAATGCCGTCCTACCCGTGCCATCCCCGCCCCCAACCCCATCCTACCTGTGTTATCTCCAGCCCCAACCCCATCCTACCCGTGCCATCCCCTCCTGTACCTTCAGACCAAGCCTCTTTGCTGTCACTTTTTCCTGTGGCTTCTTCTCACCCTGTCTTGCTCCTTCCCCCCTCTCTTAGTTGTCATTGTTGAGATAAGCCACCCTTTAGGGCCTTCTCAGCATCTCACAGCATGCGGGACTCTTGCCCAGAGGCCTGGGATGTCCAGGTTCCCCTTCTCCACAACAGGAAAAAAGCGTGCCTAGGCCTGGAGGCCATGGCTGAGGTGAACCTCTGACGCTACCTGGACAAGGGTGCCAGCATTCACGTTCCAGGCCGGGGTGGGGGGCGGGCCTCCCTGCACTCAGAGTGGCTGCCTTAGGCCTCGTGATGAGAAGCTTAAGCATTGCAGCATTAGTTCAGGAGTCACTGAAACCCAGGAACCCACTTTTTTTTTTTTTTCCAAGTATACTGTTTGGCTTTTCTTCCTAAAAAATCCCTTCATTTTAGTGCTTACAGTTTAAAATCATGTCACCCTTGGTGTTTAAAAAAAAAGGCAGTATGAATGAAAGGCATGGAATCATTTTGCTATCATTTGTTTCCTTTTCCTTTTCAAAATTTGATAGAGCCATGTGGTCCATCTTAATTTTGATAGGGTTCTTGAGATAATTATTGCCCTTAGCATATGTGTTGTGTTTTTTCCTGGTTTTACTTATATATTTAACCCATTTTCATAATTTTGGTTTCTGCCCTATAGAAAATTAATTATTCACGAGTGATAGATAAAAATAGTGAGTCAGATCAGACTCAGGTGAGTGTCTCATCCAAGCCAGAGAGACGGCACAGTGGAGGGAGCGCTGGCTTTGGAATCAAGAACCCCAGAGTTCAGATGCTGCCTCAAATGCTTGCTGTTTGTGTGACCACCTTGCAAATGACTTAATCTCTTTAGGCATCAGTTTTTTCATCTGTAAAATGGGGATAATAATATCACGTACCTGAGTGTGGTTGTGAGGATAAAGTGAGATCATATATAAACCCTTTTGTAATTCTTAAAGCGCTATATAAATACTAGCTATTCTCATTGTTATTTTTAAAAAGTAAATGTTTTTGAAGGATTAGGTATCTTCTCTAGTGTATATTCTCCTGAAAAACACCTGTGACAAAATAAAATAAATTTGCAAAGAATCACAGATCATGCCCATATTTCAGGTGTGGGTGTCGAGGACTGAGAGTGGAATGTGATAACTCATCCGTTCATTTGTTGAGTTGTGTATTTTCCACTGGGTCCTGGAGTGCAGATCACCCTGGAGAGGCAGGTGGACCGTGCTCCTCCTTAACCAGGGGCAGTGGACATATCCCGTAACCTGTTTTCCTTCTTTGTGAAACGAGGGGGGAAGGGCACCAGCTCTTACGGCTCCATGATTTGTTGTAGGTGTCTTGGAGCAAGGATGGCAGGCGGATTCCACCACGAGGATGGTGATGCCCAAGAAGCCAGGTAGGTGGCGCTGTGGCTCCACGGTCCAGCCTTGGCCTCCATTTACAATCCATTGACTTCTCAGTGCTGCTCTGCTTACAAAATGGACGAGATTCAAGTCATGGTTTTAAAACAGGGCATACTTCAGGGGCAGCATTGTAATTCCTAGAACCTTGGTCACTTTTTCAAAGTTACCTTTCCTTTCCATGAGGAATTGGCTTGGATTCCCCCATGTCAGGAGCTCCCTCCCACTTCCAAGCCAGAGGAGCAAGCATTCTACCCCTTGGGCGCTCAGAGTCGCCTGAGGGTGGTCGGGAGCCAGGACGTGTGGTTCTGAGCGTCCGAGTCTCAGGCTCGGTGTCAGACTTAGTGGTGACGGTGTGCAGGCTGATATTCTTAGAGCAGAAATGCTGTCCAGAGTTATGGGCTGTAGGACTTCAAAAAGCCTCTCACTTCCTGGGTGTGAGGACTCTCCCCGGAGAGCACACCCTCCCTTCTCTGTGCCTCACAGTGCTTAATGAGGAACTGTGGTGATGAGGCATCTCGTCCCCGGGGGCCAATAGAACAGACCCCATGGTTAGAGCCTCCCCAGCTTGGGCAGGTCCTGCCAGAGCAGAGGCTCTGTACGTTTGTGGTGGGAGGAAAGAGAACTTGTACCATCATCTCCACACCCCAGGGAGAGTATAGTCAAAGTAGAAGGGCCACATTCTGTCTAAGAGAAAGTACAGCTTTGGGAGATTGATGTGAACCTGTTGTGACAAAAGCATTGCTCCTCTCTGACAAGATGTTTACAGCTCGGGATAGTGCTGCCCATTGTGTGAGGGGGGCGCAATAACAAGGTGGGGTCTTGGGAGAGGCTCAGATAGCAAATACGTAGCTGGTACTCTCTCTAGTTTGAAGTCAATATGAATTCTACTTTGTATCCTAAACGGAAACGCCTTAAATGCTATAAAAGCTACTGGCTTTATGAGCAAAAAAGGCTTTTCTCAGTAAATGTGAGGGAGACCAACAAGAGGGAGCAAAGTTTAGGCAGACGTTCGGATTGGCCAGCACGAGCCCTCTGCCCTCCCGTAGCTGAGGGTCGTTGGTGGATCCACGTCACCTTGGAAGGCCACCTGTCAGAGAAGGGCCTATGATCCCGGTGCTTGGCCCTGGGCTCTCCAACACTTATCAGCAATTTAGATAAAGGTATTGGTGGCATGCTTATTGAGTTTGCAGGTGACACAGAGATGGCAGAGCATCTTAGAACATGGGATGACAGGCTCCAAAAAGAGATTGGCAGGCTAAACTTTGGGCCAGGTTGAGTAATAAGAAATGTAAAAGTCTTACCCTTTGGTTTAAAATGGCAACTTTACAGGTATGTTCTGAAGTTACCACTTGGCTTGACACAATGGCGGAGACTTACCTAGATGCGCTACATCAGAAAAAGATCTGGTCACTTTATTAGACTGTGAACTCAGCTGGAGTCATCTGGGTAGTTCTGGTGGCCCAAAAAGCTCGTGGGACCCAAGGTTACGGAGCTTGAGGTCCCTTCCATCTCCTCCCGGAACCTGGCGCAAGAGAGGCATTCGTGTCCTTTTTGACTTGTCAGTTACTATACCTGTAGTGGGTACTCATTAGAGACTTGCTGATCAATTGAAAAAACATACTTATTTTTTACGGGTTTGTGATTTTTGTATGAAAAGCATTTTAACAATTGTTTTGATTTTTCTTATCTGCAGGTTCCCTGGATGTTTCCTTTAACAGATTTATTCCTTTATCAGGTTTGTAGTTTCCATGCATTTATTATAATATGCTCAAGAAACATATTGACATTGAATTTTTTAAAAATGGATTTTCTTGGATTTTCTTGTTTTTGTTGAGGAACCCTTTTGGGGTTTTCTTGGCAAAGATAATGGAATAGTTTGCCATATCTTTCCCTGACTCATTTTACAGATGAGGGAACTGAGGGCAAACAGGGTTAAGTGACTTGCCTAGAGTCACAGAGCCAGTACATATCTCAGGTCTTCGTGACTCTAAGCTTAGCACTCTATCCCTGTACCACCTTGCTGCTTCATATGTTACAGTAGGTTGAGATAGAAAAAGAGAGACTCAATATTAGCCTTATTGTTTTCATTATTAAATGTGGTCAGTACCATGTTCCTGGTTGTGGTGAGATGGCCTTGGGTTCCTCCTGTCTGGTTGGGGCTGGCTTGTTTGACCCAATGAGTGAACTCTTCGTGACCACAGGGTCCTGTATTATGGCAGATGAAGGTTCCACTGTTTTCTTCGAGAATCGCCCTGATCTGACATGGTAGTTTAACAGGGTGACTGCAGGGAACAGGACCCTCTCCTAATGGAGCAGTGACCGATTGTTGAAGAAGATGGTAGACTGACACGGTGGTGGGTGGGGGATCACTCGGACTTAGCTTGGAGAGGATGCAGGGTGGCATGAGGCTTCCGGGGTCACCCGCAGGCCTTCAGTGCCTCAAGGGTCCTTGCTCTGACCCCTGGTGTGTCAGCCTCCTGTTTGCATTGAAGTTACACATATTTGAGACTATGCTGTCTTCCCACTTGGCCCCTGGAAAGGATGCATGGGGCCTGTTCAGAACTTCCCGTTCCTTTCTTGGCTTGTCTAGGAGTAACCAGGGAGCTGTCCTTCCATTTAGCTACATTTTTCCTTCTGGATTTTTCCTCTGTTCAGTGAAAGGGGAATTAACAAGAAATCTTCTCTGAAAGCCAACAACCCAAACCTTTTCTTATTTATTGTTCACTAAAGAGGGGATTCAGTTATCCTTAGATTTTTGACTTGACTCTTGAAGGCTTCCCAGTGACCATGAAACAAGTAAGTTCAAAAACATTCCCAAGATTCCAAAGAAATCTTCTCTTTTGAAGTTGAGGGCCAGGGGACTGAAAGTGTGATTGCCTGTCTCGTTGCCCCTTAGATCATATTTATGTCTCCTCTTCTTGTTTTTGTAAACAGAGCCTGCCCCAGTTCCACCAATCCCCAATGAACAGCAATTAGCCAGACTGACCGACTACGTGGCTTTTCTTGAAAATTGATTCATCGGCTTTTCTCTTCGAGATCAAACTTGGAATCCTGTGTACTGACCAGTCCGGAAAAGCGACATTTTCATTGTGTTCTGTTGGATGAAACACCCCGACATTCTTTATTAGAACATAGGATAAAATACATATGTTAGATACATATTATTTTTGGTCCTTAAACATTGTGCTGAATTCACCATTGAATGGCTTCTTAGTCCCATATATTTATTAATTTGGAGTACAACAGTATTACATGGTTAGGTCTTATTCTGTAGTGATTCCTAATGGGGAAACATCGCTATCTCGATCTATGAATTTGAAATGCATTAGGTCAGCAAAGACAATTAATTATCTCCTTCTGTTAGCAATTGGCTTGGTAAATCTTAGCTCTTCTCTGCTGATGTTTTCGGTGCACCCACTGCTGGCAGTGAGGAACATGCCACAAGAGGGGACAGAGGCCCTGAAAGGAGCGATGGAAAGAGGACAGACTTCTTGGAGAAGGAGGGAGAATGCTGGGTGTGAGGGGCCTGGTTTGGTTAGAGCCATCTGCAAAAGGAAGGGAAATGATGAGTCCAAAAATTGTTTCCGGGTTGGTTAGATGCCGCCGCTTCTTAGCGTACCTTCCCAGATGAGAAATGTGTTCGTGCCTCAGCCCATCTGTATTCCTCAAACTCACGGAGAGCTTTTTGATGAGGGCGTTGGGGCTTGGGGCTCAGCTTTTCGGCGGTCCTCTTGGGGCTGGGTCTAGAGGGAAGGACGGGCCCATCTTTGCTGAATTGGCTGGTTGACGAAGACTCACTAGGAAGCTGCTTAAGAAAGAAGGTACATTACAGAGGGGACCTAGGCCACACTGTTTGAGCTCTGAGAACAGTGCTCTTGAGATTCTGGAGTTTAAAGTTGGCTCTGTATTTGAAGGGTGCAACTTGGATGACCGTTATGATTCTATTTAAAAATAGAATTTTGCAGATTCATGATGATTGACTGGGTAGTGCGTTTCTTTCACCTTTTCGTGGTGGCAAATGTCGTTTAGTAAGTGCTTTTGATTGGGTGGTTTCATTCATTCGTGAGACTGGTAGATTCTGCTATTCGTAGTAAGATTTCCTTCAGCGCATTGTACTACTGTACATTTTTTGAGAACTTTAGTTTTTCAAAGGGTCCTGAATTGTGCACTGTTATTTTAAAATTCAGTTAAACATGTGTGACAATTAATCTCATAGGATATTTATTTGAACCCATCGAAGTCCTGGAGCTTTTTCTGAGTGTTGAAGGAAATGTAATTTCAATGACTATTAAATATGTTTACACTAAGCTTCCGTATGTATATTTTGGTTTTTGAAGAGTGATCAGAGCTCTAACTACAAATGAAATTTTCATTTTTCAGCTTCTATAACCCAGGAAGTCAGTAAAGTAGGAGGGTGGGATAGGACAGCATCTAACCATGAGGAGCAGCTTGGTTTTTAAATAATCGATTTTATGAAGTTGGTACTATGGGAAAGGTGGGTTGGTTGGTTTTCTGGAAGCCAAGGGTTTCTTCCAAAATGCTCTCAGGTTTTAGAAAAGGTGCTGTGTTACATCTGCCATTGGCTTGATCTATTCTTTGAAATAATTGGTCCTTTTGGTGAAAAGGGCTAGTCAAACAGGGACTGGTTGTCACGAGTGAGAAAATCCTGGTGGTTTGCCTGACTTTTTAAAGTCTTTTAAGTTGGTGATAACCTATAAAAACGGTACAAACAATAATAATAGCTCACATTTACATGTGTACACTTACAATATGCACCGTATGCCCGGCCCTGTGCTAAGCACTTCACAATTATCATCTCCTTTGATCCTCCAACAGCCCTGGGAGGTAGGTGGTGTTATCATCTCTGTTTTACCAGGGAGTAAAATGAGGCAAACAGAAATGACTTGCCCAGGGTCACACAGCTAGTAAGTATCTATGAGACTGGATTGGAACGCAAGTCTTCCTGACTGCAGGCCTGTCACATGGATTTCGTTCTGTGGCTCTTGTGCATTTGTCCTCACCTGAAGCAGTTGGGTCAACTTGCTCCTGAAGGTTTGCTGGGTTTCCTTCCTTGAGTCCAGCTCTGGGTTGGGTGGGGGATAAGGAGTCAGAGACCAAGAATGACCCAGAGGCCTGGGCGTTGGTGGCCCCGTTGGGTGGTGAGTGCAGCCAGGAGGAGGCCAAAGTGCCCGTGGAAAGTAGAGCGAGGTCACGGTCAGCCGCAGGAGTCAAAGCCACCTCTAGTGTCCGGGGAGGCACAGAGACCAGCATTGAATCCTGCTCACCTGGATGACAGCTGTGGGACTGGGCAAGTCACTGACCCTTTCTCAAGCCACAGTTACTCATCTCTAAAGTGGGGATTAGACATTGCTGACCTCACAGAGTTGGTCTGAGGCAGAAATGAGATTGTGTAGACATTAACAAGATGTAAATGTTGGTTGTTATCATCTGAAGTGGCCTTAAGTCTTATCAGTCCATGGAAGGGCTTTTCAGAAGATTCCACGTGGACATTCCTCCAGACAGCAGAGGTGGGGGAGGGGGGGAAGTGGATGGAGAGAGACCGTGGCCCAACTCAGGAACGCCCGAGTTGGAGGCAGTCTTCCACTTGGCTCCCCCCACGGGGACTGCTAGACCAGTATTAGGTTTGTTTGTTTTTGTTCTGGGGCGGGCATTGTTTAGGTTTTTTAAATGTTGCCTGCCACGGAGCCCATCAAAAGGGTATTGCAGTGTTCTGGGTAGGCACAATGTCACCTAGACCCTCACCCTGCACAGAGAACTCCTCCCAACCTCCCCTTGTCTCTACCCAAGAGGAGCTCATGTGTGTCTCCATTTGATGCCTCTCTGGGTTTTGGGGGCCCCCGGATTATTGAACAGGGAATGGGGAGTGGAGGGTGGGGAAGACCATGGCTACATTAGAAGGAAGATGAAGTCATGAAGCTGGTCACACTGTGTATCTCACATTTGCATCTATTTGTAATAGAATCTAAGAATTCCGTTGAATCTTAAACCCCAAAGGGGCATTGCAGGTATTAACCTAGGCAGCTGCCAGCCCAGGCAGGGACCTTCCATCAGAGCCGATGGTCTCGATGGGTTGGAACAGCCGAGTAAAGGAGAAGCAGCAGATGACGCTCAGCCCCGCCACCCCAATGTGCAAGCGTCCCATGGAGCCACGCACAGGGTGGGCTGCCACGGTAGCATTCCAGGGCCTTTTCTGATCAACGTGAGCTCTGCCCCTCTGGCCCAACGTCTCTCCTCTCCTCCTCCCAGACAGCCTTCTCTGGGCCTTCTCTACCAAGTGGCCATCCTTCTGCTCACCTCTTGACTGTCACTCTCCCTTTGATGGCATTTGAAGCCTCTTCCCTGGCTGTCCACTCCACTCCCGCCTCTACCCACTCTGCACGTGCCTTTCCTTATCTACGTGACTGAGAATATTAAGGCCACCTCAGTTCCACTGCTTAACACCATGTAATGTAAGAAGGGAAGTAAGCTCTCCTTGTCACTTGTCACTGGGAGGAGTTTGCCCTCTCCCTCCTCTCTCAGGAACCCAATAAATTCTCAGCATAGTCCATTTGCAAAAGGAATCTATACTTCCTGGTTTAGAATGAATTAACCCTTGAGTGGGCTGTTAGCGACAGTCTACAGTCTAAGACTTCTAAGACAGCAAAAAGTCTGACCTCAACGTCATGACTCAAGCAGCAGTAAGATCACAGGGTCCCATCTCTGGCTTTGGATGTGAAGCCTCATCTTACTCTGGCTTTGCTTAGAAAGCGACAGTGCAAAGTAACCACCGTATTGGGAGGGCGAAGGATTCCAAGCTCATCTCTGTGACCAAACAAGCAAATATCACTAATTATTGGAGAGAATGTCTTTGTGGGTCATTGGGAGGCCTATTCGGAGATTTGAAAAGGATGGTTTGGGGCTTCGAGAAGTTTCTGTACAGCAGATGGGTAAAGAAATAAGGGGCAGAAAACCGCAATGCCTAGGCTGTGGCCTTACTGAAATCTGCAAGGTACCACCCTTCCCACCCTTAGCGCTGACTGCTCCCCACGGGCAGCCTTTCTGGGAAGCAGCTTGGAATTGTGTGAGGAAAGCGACTGAAGTATCTAACCCTGTGGCGCAGGGATTCCGTGCTGCGCATGTGCTCAGAAGGTCAGTGACAGAAAGAAAGGCCTCCCGCACCAGAATGTTGGCAGCCTCGCTTTTTGTGGTGGCCAATAAATGGAGCCAAACGGGGAGCCAAAGTCGTGGTACATGAATGTCGTGGAATATTTCTGGGCTGTAAGAAGTGGCTCAGATGAATCCAGAGAAGCGTGAGGAGACTTCGATGAAGTGAAGCAAAATGAAGGCAACCAGGGGCTGCGAGGTGGCTCAGGAGGACCTGAATTCAAATCCAGCCTCAGACCAAACACTTGACACTTACTAGCTGTGTGACCCTGGGCAAGTCACTTAACCCCAATTGCCTTAAAAAAAAATGAAGGCAACCAACCGAGGAAATGGGATCACTGTATCACAGCTGGAAATACCAGGAACAGCAACGGCAGACCAATTGGAATTAAATGTTGTGAGAGTATAGCCAAGTGGTGCTTGGCAATGCCATCTGGGAATAATAATAATAGTGAAGTGCCCACTCTCTGCCTGGTACTGTGCTGAGCAGTGTACAGTTATGATCCCCATATTCCCCCATGAGGAAACTGAGGCAAACAGTGGTTAAGTGGCACTCGGGGTCACACAGCTAGTCATTACTGTGTCTGAGGCCAGATTTGAACTCAGGTTTTCCTGGCTCCAGGCCTAGCGCTGTATCCACTGCGCCACCTAGCTGGAAACAGCAGGGGAGGAGCCTCTGTTTTTTGCTCTGAGTGACTTCATTTCCATAGAGGCCTTTGTGGGAGGGCCACTCACTGGAGTATAGCGGTCCGTTTTGTTTTCTTCTGTTTCAAAACATTCTTTCATTAATTTTGAGACCCATGTCCTCCCAGTGACAGAACCAATCTCCACATACAGGGAGGTACCGTGCAGCAACTGTCTGATTTCCTGGGTGTGAGCCAGAAGAGTAAAAAAAAATCCCCCAAATATGTCTGGGCCCATTGTCAGCCAGTAAGCTTTGATTGAGCACCTACTGTGTGCCGAGCACCGCGCTAAGCAGGGAGATAGAAGGAGGCACAGAGATGGTCTTGAGTTCACCCTTCTGGACCAGTTCTCTCACAGTGTGAGCCCTCTGCTTTGGAACTGGCTCCTCCTTGCTTTTCTCTCCCTACCTCGCCGCTTCCCAAGTCCAAACCTTTATCCGTGCTCTTTCCATGACCTAGTCAACGAGTGCCAGGACATTTGTCTTTGTCCCCCTCCCTTTCCAGTGTCAGGAGTTTGGGGAAATCAGGTGTATCTGTCTGCCCGCAGGAAGTAGAATCATGATGGTTAAGTGACCAACCAAGGGGGCCATGGAATGGTGCAGGACTTCTGGGGAGGAAAGCGGTGCCAAACACGAGAGAAGAGAATTTGACTGATATGCCGGCCTATGCGTATGGCCCTGGAGAGATGGCATTGAGGATTTTGAGGAGTCCGTAGTCTTGCTTGGCGGGTCAAACTACAGTGACGGGAAGAAGAGACTGAGAGAGACATAAAGGGAGATGTAAGACAATAGAGATGCATAAAGAGGGTGAGAGAGAGAGACAGGGCGGGGAGCTGGGGGAGGGGGGAGAAGTAAGCAGCCCCTCCCTTTCCTCCTCTGAGGGAACGACCCGACCCTGCTGAAGTAGGACCGGGTTGGGGGGAGGGGGAAGAGTCCTCATACTCCAGGAATTGTAGGCGTCCTTGGGACCAATAGCTGCTTACCCCATGGTCTTGTTTTTCTACCTCTCAGAAAACATTCTTCTAAAACACCGTGAACTGTGTGGCTTCCAAGGAGGAGAGGGTCTCAGCACCCCAGGGGCCACCGAGCCAGCTTTCCTGAGTGAGGATTCAAGTCCAAAAGAATGGAAACGTCCCCCAGTGGGTGCTTGGACCCTTTGTGCCCCTGACACAAGGTTTATGTTGTTAATGCTACATCCTCTCTTCTCTGCCTACCAAAATCGTAACCATCTTTCAAGGACCCAGGTCAGGGCACCTCCTCTGGGAAGCCTTCCCACGCACTTCAGGCCGTGCAGTCTCTTCTTAGAGAATCTTATAGCGCTTTTGGTGTTTCTTCCTTATCTTACATCTTTGCTTCCTCATTTCACTGTAAGAATCGTGTCTGTGTCCACCCAGCTATGAGTTCATGATGGGGAGGGGATCTCATCTTCTGTTTCCTTTGCATTCTGCAGAATAAGCTAGT